ACAGCCAGTAGGCCTCCACAATTTGGATCATTTCGCCATTCAAGGAAAGTTCTTTTGCCGCTGAGCTCTTCGCCAAAGGGTTATCACCATTGCGGACAACCTCCAACAGGTTGCTGCTGTTGCTGCCCCTTCTGCCGCTGCCGCTGCTGGTTCCGCTGCTGATGCCTATGTTTAGCTCATCCAACTGCTTCATTGGTTCTTCACTCTGCGCATTTATTACATAACATATGTTCTTTAAGAGTGCCTTCCTGGAAGTTCTCCCTTTCTTTTTACACTTCACATTTTCCTTTAACGCGGGTCTTTTTCTCTGTCCTAGTTCTGCTTCTCCATTGGGACCCCCTTCAGAGTAGAGCAGAACGTCGCTAATTTGCGCCTCCGTGTCCAGGTGGGCCCTGTTCGTCCAGCATCGGTTTGTAGAGGATCGATGTAATAGCTGCTCGCAACTACGACGGGGTGTGTGCGTACGCCCATGATTGCATGTCTGCCCGTAACTACGGTAGTGTCTCTGCTTGTTTACATGGATGCTTCCCCCCTCCCAGCACCCCAAAGGGGGACTCACAAAATCAAAGCCCCTCTGCGGCACTCTCCTCCCACGTAGGCATTCTGCGAACTGATCATACAAGAGGCCATACAAAACTCCCCAGGAGTATAAAAAAATGGGAAGATACATTTATTACCTTTTGGGATTCATTTTCTTCGACTTCATTTCTAAATGGATGCACAACATGGGTAAGAGGCCCTCTATCAGCGTGCTCCACTTTTTTTTTTTTTTTTTTGTTTTCCCCTCTACAGTTTAACGCGCCGAGAAGAAGGGAATAACTAACGGTGATAAGTCCACAGAAGTGAGAAAAAAAAATATCACACCTACCCGTTCACAAAATGGATTTGTTTGGCGCCGACTCTTTCTGGCTGGGTAACGTTGCCTCGTTGCTCTCGACTTCTGTTTGTTCAGCGTTGTTTGTTCACCTGGTTTGGTGTCCCTTTTTGTGGTAACCCGTACTTGGGCTCTTCTCCTAGGGGCTGTTCCCCACCCACAATTTAGCACATGCCAAGGAAACTCCCTTGGTGCAAGTTCCTGCAATTTGTTTACCCATTTGAGCGGAAACAGGGAGGGGCCGGTCCACGGAGTGCTGTTACAATAATACGTGTTAGCAGAATAAAGTGAAAAAGCAGTCAACCTTGCGCCGGAAGAGGCCCCCAGTTGCCAACCACGCAGGAAAAAAAAAAAAAAAACTTTGAAGGGGGATGCTCATCTTTTGGAGAATCTCAAGTGATTCAAAAGGGAATCCTCTACAGTTTTTTTTTATCTCCTTTTTGAAAGCCTCATTTTTAGATCCACTGTGGCGCAAACGCGAAAGGCTTTACTGACCTATGACATAGGTGTCAACACACTCGATGAGCATAAACCGGACAAGGGACAGACCTATCACTTTTTTGTGCGCATTGTGAAATTGACCTTGCCCCCATTCAGAGAAGATCATTTTTTTTTTTTTTTTGCTACACCTCCCTGTTGACAGCTTGTGTTGCGTTGCCCGAAGGGGGGATTCCTCACCATTAGCATGGCGAAAGTATCGAGGGCCAATTTCACAGAAAGGTGCACATAACTTCCCGTACGGGACGGAGGAGAGCCGAAATGAGCCAATTGTTCAACAGAGGGGAGGTAAAAGAGGGGAGCGAACACAGTGAGGAAGCACAGGAGAGAACTACTTCCCAGAAAGGCTACCAACCACAGGGAAGTAGCGTCCTACTGGACGTGAACGCTGGAAACAGCGTTGTCAAGTGCGACATGCTGTCGTCTATGCACGAGGGAGCGAAAAGAAAGTTGACGAAGTTGTTCCAAGACAACGACAATCGGATGCACGATGAGGAGTTAGGACTAAACATATATATAAAAAACATCTGGATCTATATTAACCTAATGTGCACCTTTACAATCCACGATTTGATTCTCATCTCAAGGTCCTTCAAAAATACAGAAATTATTTACGACGATGTTGTGTTCAGTGGAAAGGAGGACGGATCCATCTTTAAGGATAGACAAGGTAAAAGAAAAAACAGCTTGTTCATTTATTTCCAGAATTATAAAATCAGGAAGAACGTCGTGAAAATATTTTTGCAGAATCCCTATGCTGTTTGCTTCATACACAAAAACGGGTCTGTGCATGTCCACGGGGCATTGACGTTGAGGAGAGCCTTACTCATTCTAATTAAGGTCATTAAGAGATTGAAATATAAGACTTTTTGGACGTATCTAAGTGGGTGCGGTATGGGCGTGAATCACCAGGGGGTGGAGCCTCAAGACGAAGGAGCAACAGCTGCAGCGGGTGTGGCACCTTGTGATGGCCAGATCGTGCACCCAAAGGAGGGGAGAAGCAATTTTCCAACGTTTCATCAGAACGAGGGGGGGCCCATTTCGGGAGAATCCACTCCTGAACAGAGCATTGTCGAAAAATCCACTCCTCAGCAGAGCATTACCGAGGGGGCTTCATCCCCGGAGGGAGGCCCCCCAAAAAAGGACAAGGCAAAGGTCTTCCAAACGATTCGCTTCTGCGAAACGATCATTGAAGAGCTAAGAGGCAAGATTAACAAGTATGGGCAGGACGATTGGGGGCAGGCCAGGGCACTTCCAGTAGAGAGACTTTGTCAGGGGGGGGAAAAAAAGGAAGGCCCATCCGAAAGTAGTAAATATTACCGATCGAGGGGATGCAGAAGGTGGATTTCCAAGAAGCTCCACGCAGAAGTTCCTTCCCAATTGGGGCACGAACAAATGGATGTCCATTTGAATAAGAGCAAGCCCCCCATTCAGGTGGAGGAAAAGAGAGGGGTGTCAAGAGTGGATTCTCCTAAAGGGGCCTCCTCAGAGGAGTGCAGGAGCGGAAGAAATGACAAAACTGCGAACGTGTCCGAGTCACAGCCTCCCCATTTATGTGACCATGCGGGGGACTCCTCTGAATTGACTCGTCCCAATCGTTCCACAACGCATTTCAAACCGAGTAACAGCCAAGCGGATCGGAAAAATCAATTTTTGGGTAGGAAAGAAAATGATAGAACGGTCGAAAGGGAGAACTACAGCGAGATGGGTCCCTTCTTAAACCAATTTGATCAATCAGCCGTGTACAGCAAAAAGTGCATATACCAGTTTGACACGTACCGGCGGTGGAAGTACATCACGCGAAATGACATCACATTCGACATGGACCACTTGAACATCAAGCAGCTTGTCTCTGTTTTTAGTGTTAAGTTGAGACATTTTGATATTTCCAAAATTTACCAGTATAAAGAATTTAAGAACATCATTACAGACATTAACAATATTATATATATTCGAATTGACCATTCTCTTTTGTGTAAGCTAATTCAACAAGGCACTTTGGATCCCCTTGTGCAAAATAATTTTGCAGAAGGGTGTCGGCCGAATGCTCATTCCTCCGTCAGGACGGTCCTCTTGTTCAGCTCGGGAAACGTTGTCCTTTACGCCTGTAAGAGTCGCCTCGAGGTGCTGTGCGTGTCTAGGTTTATCGTGAACACGCTACGCCGCAACAACAACATAGCGATGTGAGGCCGTATCGGGGAGCTGCACAGCTAGCTAAAAATTTTACCTGAACAGGAAAAAATATATATATATAGCTAAAAGGGTCAGCTATCACAAAATAGCCAAAATGGATACCACCGAATCGTCGTATACGGGTAACGTACCGCAAGCAAATTGCAAAGGAGATAACCCCCCTCGCAATGATCAGGACAAATACGTGCGAATGGGGAAATACAGTGGGTGTCTTTCGTAATCCCCATTTTCCCGTCTTTTCGCCTTTCTTTCCAAATTGACTTCCTCATGTTCTGTGTCAAATGGGGGGTTCTCCAAAGATGGTGACACTCCGCCTGATCGACCATGTATGCAGCCTTTCCGCCAAAGTTCATTCATCTGGGACTTGTACCCCTTGTAAGATGGCAGCGCGGACATGAGTACACTCCGCGGGGTGGCATTAAACTTTACGAACAGGTCAGGTGCATTTAAAATTTGAAGTCTCGCAGCCATCGCTTTCGTTACATAAAAATTATCAAAATAGCCAAAGGAGTAAATAATACTTTTAATTAAACTTGGTACTTGCCATTTTTCATACTTAAGAAATTTGTTTTGCTGACAATAAAACCCGAGGAGGGATCTGTACATGAGCTCGCATGAACAGAGCAGGTGTTCGTGCTTGTGCCATTCGATGTGTCTCAGTGGGGGGTTACAAGTATAGTGATGATTTCCCTCCTCATGAGCGAAATTTCCCCCCGGTTCGTCACTTACATCTTGGGCTCTGCCCTTATCGCTAACAGATTGCCCCGTTGAAGGTTGGTCATCCTCGCTACACCCACTTGCCACACTGGCCCCCCTGCGCTTATACTTCAACAAAGCATCCAACAGAGGGTTATCCTTATATATCTCTCTCAAGTACCTCTTGCTGATGCTGCTAATCATAATGCTGTTTTTGTAAAGAGTGAACAAATAATGCCCCTCTAACTCGTTTAACAAGAGCAGGCTCCGTCCCTTGGTATTTTTCGATGTGGCGAGGTTCGTCCTCAAAACGTATTCATCAACGGTGGTACACACCCCTACCTGTATTACCAAGTCGACCTTGTCTACTTCGATTCCTTGACACAACAAGGAGGAGGCGAATAAGACTTGTTTGGTCTTCCCCTCCGAGTTGTTAAATCTGTTCAGGGTGTACATTTTCTTATCTGTACTCAATTTGGAGTGCAGACAGGAGAGTATGACGTCTTTTAGCAGTTCGTACTCGCGTTGGTGCATATCATCAACAGGGCCGCACTTGTTGTCTTCACTGTTTGCTTTGCCTCTCTTTGAGTGTGGGCCGTCTCTTTGGAGCGAACTGTCCCATTCGTTATCCCCTAATTCGATGGAACCATTCCCACCCTTGGACCCACCCTCTGCTGCGCTGCGCAGTTCTGAATGGGCCAGAACAAAGGGAGCGGAGGAGACTGAAAAGGTAACGTGATCCTTATCGTAGTGGTGGTTCTGCGGATGGGCAGCGGCACTGTCCGAATTGGTGCACCTCTGGTGGTAGTAGCTGCTATTATGGCCCTTCATATTTATGTACCCCCCGTAGGCCCTTTGCTTTCCGCGCAGATAGAGCAAACAGAGGTATCCCTTAAAAATGTAATGCTTGAAAATGACGTAAAAAAACTGGATCATTTTTACAGTGGGCATGAAGAGGACTATCTTTATACGCTCACTTGAGAGGAGCTCTCTGCAAAGAATATTGAAGACTACTAAGGCAAGTTTGTCCGACTCGTATATTAAGTATTCTTGCGTTAGGAATATGTGCGTGGGGATGTTTCTCCCTTTGTTCTGTTCATAATTGGCGTGTGTGCGGCTGAACTTCGTGTAGTTATTGTAATCGCTGTGGCTGAGAGTGAGCTTCTGTTTTTGCTCTTCCGGGGGTTCTTCCCTCTTTTTGTCTTCACCCTTTCTATGTGTATATTCCCGAGGAAGTCTTTCATTTGCTCGTTCGAGTGGACCCCTCCGATTTGTCTTCTCATCTGCAGTAGTTTTACCCTCCCAGGAAGTATGCATCCCGCTGCAAGTTGATCCTTCCTCATTGACGTTTGCCTCTTCTTTCGGGTGGCCTGGCTCCCCTACGATGTACGCATCGAATGCATTAACGTGGTCGTAAAACGTCTTCGCGTCTTTGCAATACCAAAGCTTTTCTAGTTGGGTGCAGTTCAGTATGTTGTTTTTATAGAGGGAGAGGAGCTGGGCGTTCAGTCGGTGGTAGAGTTGAAATGGGGAGTTTTCCCGATTGGTCAGATTTAAGAGGCCACCCCCTTCTTCACTGCCATCTGCTGAGTAGTGGCACTGGGGGTCTTTACCCCTCGGAATGATAGCCTCAAACGTGTCATCATCATACACACAGTTGTGCACTAAATTTAGGTACACATAATTGAGGCGCAAAAATCTGAAGGCCAAATGCTTTAAAAAATTATTAACATGACAGGTCAGTAAAACGGTTTGGTGACCTTTAGGAAGCACATCCTTGATGGTTAAAACGTTGTGTAAATAATTTGAATTTAATAGGAAGTACGCTTCATCCACGATGATCGTATCACATAAAAAAAACATGTCTTTGAAGGAACAGGTGAATTTCATATGATTGATGAAACTAGCTGGAGTGGTCACAATAATGTGTGGTTTTTTTTTTTTTAGCTCGTCAATTTCATCTTGCATGTTCAAATTTTTTTTTCCATGCATGTAGTGGCATATGATGTCATACGGATGGTACATGAGTAATTTCTTTACAATTGCATATGTTTGTTCCACGAGAATTCTGTTGGGACAGATAATCAGCGCGAGGACAGAATTGTCCTTGAAGTGGGGAAAGTCCCTTTTAAGTTTACCTATCTGTGCAATTACTTTGTGGGCAAGTGGGAGACAGTACGATAGTGTTTTCCCTGTGCCTTTAACGGAGTGAATTAAAATGTCGTAATTTTTTACAAACAATGGAAATAGACAGTACTGAACGGATGTCAAATACTTCACGTGGAAGTTCTTCTGTAAACTTAATTTTACATACGAGTCCATGCCCAGATGGTTAACTTGTTTCAGTTGCAATAACGATGATATGTTTTTCGTCATCTTCACATTTTTGTTTCCCTTCCCATAATATTTCTTTTCTTTCTGAACACATCCTTCGCAGTCTGCATTTTGATCCACGTTCCCCTCCACCGTGTCGGACAGCTGTGGTAAAAAATAGGGGGAATAATCGTCACCCTCGTCATTGTTAAGTCTGTCAGCCCCGGGGAGCCTGGTTTCCCCGATTTTACACACGTCTGATTGTTCCCCTTCCAGGTGCTCCCCTTTTAACTGTCCCACCTTGAAGGCCAACTTTTCGTGCACCTTCTCTGATGACCCGTGGGGGAGAAAGAAGTCAAAGAAGTGGTACGGCACATATTCCCTGTTGGATGATGTCAGTATGTTCAGCTCGGACGGAAACTTCTTAAATTTTCTGTCACAGAACTTGCGCAAGTCCTCTGCATTGTCGTACACGATTTTGTCTCCGTTGGTGAACTCCCGTAGGTGAGATTCCACGCAGGGGGGGGCAGACGCATCGTCAGTATCCACCGATTCAGCAACGCTTCCGTGAGTGATCACTCCGCGTGCAAGCGACGCATGGTCGTCTCCCCCGCTCCACACTAGCCTCGCGGCGCCGGTCACCCTGCTAACAATGGCTCGCCCCTTGGATGCATGCTTCAGAAGCACCATTTAGGAGAGTAACCGCAGGGGGCGTTACAACCAACCTACTTGTGTGTACCTACGTTCGGAGCTATCACGTATGGGGGGATTGGCCAAGCGGCAACGGGGTAAACCGCTAACGTGGGAGGGGTGGAAAGCTAGACCCCCACCCCATCAAGACGTTTCTCTTCCAATGGAATGGGTGCGGGGCAATAGGGCGAGCCCAGAAACTGGGCCCCTAATCAGGGTCACTTCTCTACACGTGCATGTGTCGTCGAGCTATATAGCTGCACACTAGTTCGTTTCGTCATGTGGCCTCCTTTCACCTCCCCGTCAAAATTGGCGTGACGAAAAAAATGTGCGAAAGGAAGTACGACGTGCGAAGAACGGAGTTGCCTTGCTCATTTTTCACAACGAAACAAAAAAAAAAAAATTATGCAGTCCAGCGAGAGTATTCTCGTTAGCAAACTTTTATATCTCCAGAAATTAACTGCAACATTTTTGCGTCGTTTTTGTAACGCTTTTTTTAAGCATTTGGCGACAAGCAAGTGCTAAAGCCTGTTGTTAATTTTTCCCCGATGGGCAGCGTCAGGGGGAGAAATACCTTGAGGAGGGCAAGGCAAAACCAATCGGAACCATATTGAAATACCACCATAGTTAATAATAAGGGCAGGTGGTGTAGTGGTATCACGCTTGATTTGCATTCAAGAGGTCCGGGGTTCAATTCCCCGTCTGTCCATTTTTTGCGCAAAAGAAAAAGAAAATGGGTTAACGACGTAAGTGAAAATATTATACTATAAAAAATTATTTTATGTATTTTTTTTTTTTCCTTTTTTACCTTTCGGAACAGAAAATATAGCGAACTTATCCTTTCCTAACTTTGCGGTGGGGCAAGAATGACGCAACCCATGGGATATTACTTCTTAGGGTAAGTGAATTTTTGAGAAGGCAATTTTATTAAAATCTTTGGCGTGATATATATAGCCGCGTTAAAATGTCAGCAGAGATGGGAGGGTTTGGGCCATTGTATTTTGCTGGCAATCAGAAGGAGTGCCAATTTTTGCTTTCCCCATTCTCCCAGCTACTCGTTGGAAAGAGGCCAAATTGATTTTCCTTCCCGGGGGTGGTTTCTATTGCTCCGTCGTGCCCCTCCAAAATACAAATATATAATAACGTGGCTACTTGGGATACCTGGAAGTGTTCACCGGGAGGAAGTTAGTTTTAATCGTGTGTGTGGTGTTTGTTGCCAGCGACTCTGTTAACGACAAAGGGCACAAGATGAGCAGGTATAGGATCAAAATAAAATAAAAAAAATATAATTTGCCTTCTTGACACTAAAAAAGATAAAATAATAGTGTTTTTTCCCCTTTATTTATTGCTGTCTTTCCTTTTTTTTCATGTGGGTGCCCATTTTATTAAAAAATATTTTTTTTCTATGTATTTTTTATATACTGTTGAGAATTTCCCATGCCGGGAATTGAACCCGGGCCTTTCGGGTGAGAGCCGAATATCCTAGCCACTAGACCACATGGGATATGAAATAATCCTCCAATGAGGCAAGCATCCTTCGCCGTATCAAATGAAGAAAAAACGAAGAGATAATGATAATAAATAAAAAGCAGCAGAAGCAGTAGTAACAGTAGCCAAATGACGGAGCAAGATAAATGGTGGGGCACTCCTCCCAGGCACTCTTCAACGCTTCTCAGGACCGCAAGTGGCATTTCGGATGGGTTCATTTAAGTTCATTTTGTTTAAAAAAAAAGTAAAAAAATGAAAGAACGAAAAAGTGACAAACGCTCATTGGCCATACAATTTCCCCGCTTAGGGAGTTGGCACAAAGTGATTAGCTGAACAAATAGCGCTTGCTATATTTTGCTAAAACTGTTTACCCATGTGCTGGGAAAAGGTCAAGCATTCACGTGGAAGGGTAAAAGGAGGGACAAACCTAGCCACAATGCTCCCAGGCGCGTTTTCCCCTGTTAAGTAAATAAAACCCTCTTGACTTCCCTCCTGACGTCTTTTAAATTATTTTTGTAATTGTTCCCCTGCGAGAAGTACTCAATGTCAACTCTTCGCTTTTCCTTGGCTCCCTTCCCAATAGTATCCACATTAATGAAGCCCTCGACGTAACCATCTCTATCGCCTTCTACATTGTCACGAGGGGCTACGAGGCTTAGCACTTTCAAATAGTGTATATAGTTTGCCAAGTCGTCTAGTAGGTTCCTTTCTCGTTTAATGGACTGACCAACGCTGACGGAGTTTAGGACATCCATAATGCGTTCCTCAATTTTGTTTCGTGTGTGTACTTGGTTCACTCCGTCGTCTGGGAGTTCACATTTTGCTACTCCTCCTGCAGTTAGCAGTGCCACAAGAAGAAGCAGAAAGAGCAGACGCTGAAGACGTAACATACGTAGCGGAGGTAGCAGCGTCAGTCCTGCGAAAATTGGCATCTTTCTTATTTTCGGGAGGGTAAATAACAGGGATGAAAACAGTGGGGGTGATTGGCACACGCCCTGCAAAAATTAACTCCTCGTGCTTCTAAGTAGACGTTTCTCTCCACGTTGACGTATAGACGGTTAAGACTTCGAGGAGGAGGCAACACAAGTAGGTACATATGACTACATGACCAGATATATATACGCACATTTGAGAGTACTTCCCCTGGAACACCTGTGGGGGAGGCATAATATCCCATATGTGTGAGCGCGCCCCAGGGGTGATCCTCGCGAAAGGGTGTATATACAACATAGTTGGGATGACCCCACGGGGATTTGGAAGGGGAAGAAAAAGAAAAAGAAAGAAATTAAAAGAAAAACGCTATCTTGTCGCGGCGCTGTGTGGAATACCCATTTAAAGAGGGGCAACTTCCGCTTGGTTCACCCAGACAGATGAACATGTCCATATGTGCACTCCTATGGGTCTGCTTTGGGCCTACCCATGCGGCTATCTTAGACACAAATTGACAGTCCTTCAAGTGGGTTATTATCTTTAAAAAAGTATTTTTTTTTTTTTAAAGTTCACTCGAGTAACCTCCCATTCGCAAACAAACATCCATCCGCTCGAGTGTGCAAATGAGGCAAATGAACAGGGTACGGAAAAAAAAAATATATAGTAAAAAAAAACAAGGTGAACACAAGGGACTCACAAACTGTTGAACCCCAGGGGGATTGAGACAAAAAAGGAAAAATAAACAATTCCTTGGATGCAAAAGGAGATTACATTTTTTTTCTTGTTTTTACCAGTGAAGACGGGGAGTATCACAACATAGGTATCACGCAGATGGGCAGTTCTCAACACAGACGATTACTACGTGGAAGATCGGAGGGGTGGGGAAGGAAAGAGGTAACCCTAACCTAGTCCACCCCCACTGATCAACTAAAATACAAACTGTAGAATAGACATCTCAAAGCTCTTGTGTTTATTTCTTTGTACCGCTCGTCATGGCATAACTTTAAAATGTAGGAATAGTAGGCGTTTAACTTGGTGTGCTTTGGACGGTCCCGATCTGCGAAATCGTTCTGTTTGTGGGGTCTACGTTTGTGACCCTCATCTGTGTTTCTGCGGGATGTTTCCTTTTTCCTACTTCCCAGGAGTAGCATCTCCTTAAGCCTCTTGACGTCGTACAGTGCGCCCACGTCGTCCTGCGCGAACTGGACGTCCAGCTGCGCCATGTAGGCCGCAAAGTCTGGAGGTAGGCTGTCAGTTGAATGGTCGGTTAAGCTGCCCGTTAAGCTGCCCCCTATACCGCTTGTCACTCTGGTCATTCCACTTTCTTCTGCGTGGTTTGGGGCGGGTCCCCCCGATTGACTGAAGGACATAAAGACGTCATAGCTGCACAACCAGGGGTTACGAAAGAAAAACAGCTTCCTGTTCTTCCGCACTTTGTGCTTTACGTACAGGGCAAAGATCGTCTCGAGGTTGTCCAAAAGGGTTGTCAGCCCATTCATCATGGGGACGATGACGTTAAAGAAGGTGTCGTGGAAGTGGGCGTTTGCTCTGAGGTAGGCGGTCACTCCTTTCTCGATCTGCTCGATTCTGGTGCTTATCTGTATGTCCCGCACCACCTCCACGAGGTTGTTCGATTGGCGGTTTGGCAGCCCATTTGGTTGGAGGTTTGCATGCCCCTTTGGATGGCTGCTAGTACTTCCGATTACGGGTGTACCCTCCCGCGGTGAATCTGCAAAGGAGCAGCGGAACACCTGCGCCAGGTTGTGCATCTTTAGCCGGAAGATGTTCTTCTGCGAGCTGCTCACGGCTTTGCGGACAACGTCGCGCACGTTTTCGCTTCTGCGGCTTTGCGAGGGGGGAGCGGTGACGTGGAGGTTCCCCTCTGAATGGTGATACTCCTCTTTGCCGCGATCCGTGCCCGCGGAGGAAACGTTCACTCCGTTGTCGAATCGGTCACTCATTTCGTCGCTGGTATGCTCCTTGGCGTACCTCAAAACGACTTTGTTAATGTTCCTGAGAAAACAGTGCAGGAAGTAGTCACGTGTCTGGAGCTGTTTGCCAAATGGAGGTACCGACAGAGAGAGGAAAAGAATGAGGACATAAAAACAAAAGGTGTTGATTTTATGCACGTTCTTCTGAACGATTTTGAAGCTTCTGCTCCGTTTGACAATCCTAATTAGTCTTTTTTTCTTCTTCTCATCAAGGGTATGTTTGGTCAGGTGGCGATAAATTCGAGACAAAAAAGAGTGGCTCCTTCTTAACACGTAAATCGTTGTCTTCGTGCGGAGACGCCTCATTAGGAAGCGCGGCAACTTGCTCCAGTTCGCTTCGTCCAAATGGCAGAGAGACGTATGCCACAGGGTTACTAACAGATTGGTGAAAATGAGAAAGTACATCGGGTAGGTCACGTCATTACAAAATCTCTTCTGTGTAATGACCTTTTCCCTCTTCTGTACAAAATCGTTTACGAAGTTTTGGGCATTCGTCAGGTCATTAATCAGTCTGTTTTTTTTAATTATGTACCGGTTGATATTCTCCAGATAATTGCTGGTGAAGAAGAAGCGCGTTATATCCATTTGGAAGATTCTCTCGATGTGTGTGTAGACATAATCGCTGTAATCGTACATTTCGGTGAAGCCTCGTTTGTTCATTTTCTTCGCTCTTCGCAGGTAGGTATGGAACGTTACCAGGCTCACGTTTCCACGGAGAGGTTCCTCACTTGGATAGTTACGTGCACTACAATGGGTTGTGCTGCTTAGCTCGTTCATGCCGCTTAGCTCGCTTATGGGCCTCTCATCGGGTGGCTTCCCCCCCGCGTGTGCCGCCAACACAGGGAGGGCCTCCAAATAGTCTCGACACCTCAGCACACGGTACAACCCTTCACACAGCTGCATAGTGGGCAGGTCTGCCCATTCTGAGGTGGTGCAACAACTGGGGCTCTCCTGGGGGTCCTCTTCTTCGATCCTTCTTGTTCCATCTTTCGTTTCACCGGAGTTGTTCCTCCAATGTGTTTGTGCCGCCTGCTCGGTATTCACATCCCTAGTGTCAGCATTCTGGTGAGTTGCTGGATGAATTGCTTCGTGAAATGCTCCACGAAATGCTCCACGAACTTCTCCATGAACTTCTCCACGGACTTCTCCACGAACTGCCCCATGAACTGCTCCATGGATTGAGTCCTCCCTTTCCCTTTCCATCACCACCTCGTCACACGATTCCTGTCTCTTCCTGCACGACTCGTTCAAGGTGTCAAAGTGGACATACACATCGTCGACAAGTTTATCCTCAAGTGGGTCCTTATAAACACCTGCGTGTGTGAACTTCTCAGCAGGTCCTACCACTGCTCCGACGCCTACCCCGAGGGGGAGCCCCATTTGGAGTTCTCCCGGAAAGTGGCCCCCAAATTGTGAGGATTCTATACGGTCGTCTGGGCTCCGCTGTAGAATCTCCACAGCCGCATCCTCGTTCTGATTCGTTTCGATTATATCTTTGCTGATGGTGACTATCTCATCAATGATGTCCAAGAAGGAGTTGAATTCTTTGTCCATCGGTGCAGCCACTTCGGTCAGCCGCTGCTCGGTTAAGTAGTGGTCGTGGTAGGTTAGTACGTTTTGCTCTTTCTCTCCCTCTTTCTCTTCTTCCCCCTTCTCTTTGCTGCTCTCTTGATGGCGCGTCGCTGTTAAGAGTCCCGCATGGGACTCTTCTTTTGTGGTTCCTACTTCACTGCTTCTCATTCTCTTGGGGATGTCTCCGATCCAGTTGGCGCTTCCCCTTTGGGGTGCATCTACCTCTTCATCGTGTTCGAAATCGAAAAAGTCGTGTTTGCCACAGAGTAGGCTTTTACCACCCTTCATCTTCTCTTCTCCCATCATATTGAAACCATCGATGCGGCATTCTTCTTCCAGGGAAAGCAATCCCACACTTGGTTCTCCAAGAGGAGGGGTCCCCTTCCTTGTCCAACCCATCTCCGAGGTGGAACCATCACTAAGGTTTATCAATTGGTCATGTAACTTTATTCTTTCCATTGACGCATTCTTCATAATACCACTATCAGGTGGACTGTTTCCGCCTATTCTTCTATCCACCACTTGGAAAAAATCCACCCTATGGAACTTACCCCACTGAGGAGGCTTTTCCACCTTCTTGTCTTTTCCTATCACTTTTTCATCACCGATGAGGATCTCCTCATCTTTGTCGCTATCTGCGATGTGTCCACAAACAGTTTCAGCTCCCCCGATGTGTAACCTCCCTCCCTTTGTTTGCCGGTCAGCCAAATTGTTACCATCCATGGGGAACAAACTACTATGGAAATCTCCCTCGAGGAGGGAACTCTCCCAAATGGGCAATTTTTTTCTGAAAGGAACTGCCTTCCCATTTGCTACCTCCCCACCTCTCTTCATCCTATTTGAGTTGCTGCATTCACCAAAGAGATTTTCATTACGAAGTGAGGACACCTCATGCGTGTGGAAGTCATCCATTCCGATTAGGTTCTGCTTTCTTGGAATGGTTCCCCCCGGGGGGTCCATCTTGTTTGCCCCGTGATTTGCAATCGCATGGGAATCGAAGATGGCAGATGTGAGGTCCTCCCTGTAGGAGTGCTCTTCAGAAAAGGGGACCCAATCTGGGCTATTCTCTTGATCAATGAAGTTTAAAAATGGATCTTGTGTTTGTTCGTCCTGAGGTCGTTCGATTTGCACATTGACCTCGTTACATTTGAGAAAGTCCCACTTGGGGTGCAGGACCGTATTCAGGGATGGTTCCCCCTTTGATGTTTCTCCCTCCGCTTTGGGATTACCGGAGTGTAGATAAGTCAGTGTATAATAGTTTCGATTCCAATTCAATGGCGTCACTTTGGCCCTACCGAGGGGTGCTTCTCCCCTCTCGTGGTTACTGTGCTGGGGTGGAAAGTCAAGGAGCTCATCCACATTGCTGTTCCGATAAAATGGATTGTCAAAGTGGGTCCCTTTATTTTCCATTGGTTCAGACACAGAAGTAAACGCTTCATAAAAGGAGGTCTCATCTGATGGGCCTACAAAAGCGCTTTTGTCTGTTTCTCCAATTGGGCTATTCTTACTTGGATTGGCTTCCCTTCTCAAGTGGACTGACCCACCCGTGTAAGGTTGCCTTCCTTGCGATTGTTCAGATTTTTCTCCTCTAGTAGGACTGGAAGATGTGTCCTTCTTCCTCTCACCGCTGTTGTGATACTTCAAGTGACTACCCCATCTTTGCATCCCCCGTTTGGAATTATCAAAGATTTCACCTTCTCGAGCTCTCCCTTCTTTTGCGGAGTAGTCACACACATGATCGACCCGTTGAAAAGCTTCCCAATCTGGAGTGACTTCAACATTCTGCTGGAGTGAGAGATGGTCTGTTTTGTTTCTTCTTTTCTGTACATCTGCGGAGTGGGCACAATTATACTCTCCAAGATCGCTCAAGTAACTGAAGTGGTTTAGAAATTCTTTTTCTTTATTTGTTCTCTTCGTGAGATTAAGCTCCTTTCCGGGCGACGCGTTTTTGTGAGTCCTTGGGGGCAGCATTACGGCTGCCTCACTTTGAGCGGCACCCTTCAAGTCATGCATATCGTTACAACATTTTTTTTTATCCCCCCCATCGACATCATTCCCATCTGCACTAGAGAATATATGATACAAGGTTTTAATGTTTTCCATGCTTACTCCTTCTTCTCCTGTTCCTTTTCTGTTCGTTTTGCTTGTCTCTTTGCAATGGTTCATCGCCGTGACCGTCCCTCCGTGTTCCCGCGGCTTTGAGTGACTGATCATCCTCCCGTCGCGTCACCCCTTTTTTCTTTTTCTGTAGTGAATCCACGAACAGCTGAAATGTGTGAGGCGTTTCAAAAGAGCTATTACATTTTCCTCTATATATAGGGATACAGAAAAAAGAAAAAAAAAAATGCAAACTTTGCTTTTTGTGCCCCTTGTGAGGAACGTTGTCTTTCCCGTTCTTTTGTACAACTTGGGTGGGGCACTCCTTCTGGTGGGAAAATTATGCCCAAGAGAGTATGAACGAATGTGTTGGTGCGCGTTACGCGTGGTTTATCCCCGTTACAGCCCCAGTGATAACTGGGCTCTTCAAAGGAGGGGCTTCTTCACGAGAGAGGAAATCTACTTCCCAGCGTCGGCTGTAACTGAAGAACTTCGCTATGTAAGAAGGTGCGCATCGCCTAGCATGCGCTATCGTGGCTGCACGTTATGAGGCAACCGTGCCACGCATAGTATGCACCATCGTGTGCGGGCCGTTGGTCGCTCTCTTGAAGTTCCCTTTTTAAGATAACACCAAAAGGATTTTCTCCAAAGCGCGGGAGCCAACTTCACAAGTTCACCACTTGAATGGTGTGAACTGCCCGCTACAGGAAACGCCGAACTGAGCGATTGTGCACTCGAGCTGCGCCACGCGATCGGGTGGGTAGGAGGCCCTCTTCAAATCCTCGCGAAGTCTTACACAGCCGTGGGGGAAATACACCAGAATTGAGAGGCAGCCAGATGAGGCTCCATTAACCTGCTTCCCCATGGGAACAGAGCCTCGTTTCGAAGTAGTCATTTTGGTGACAGTAAGAAGCGGTGACGATTTTTCTTTACGCGGGGAAATGCAACTGCCCCTGTAGAACTGCTAAACGGAACAACTACACGTGCGCACATGGAAGGTGCGGAAATACAAAAAGAAAAAAAGAAAAAAGAAAAAAAGAAAAAAAAGCGAACGTACACACGCATGCGGGACAAGAACAGGAAAATACGTTTATACATTCTTATCTTGACAAAGTTTTTTAAGCAGCGCCAGAAGTGTATATGCATACAGGAGGGGAACATTCGGGCAGGGAAAATTTCCTCTTCCAACCCAGGGGAGCAGAAAGAATGAACAGCCGATGCTTAATCTGCGTAGTCCACTCGCCTGTTTGTTACGTCGCTACACCACTACACCCCGAATTGCCAGAATTTCCCGCGTAATGTTCTCCTTTAGGTTGTCCGGATACTTCCTGGCCAGCGACATGAGCTGTGCAAAGTTGCCGTCCTCGCTTGTGTTGGAGTGCTCCCCTATGTTGCAGCCCTCGTCAATGCGACCAAAGCGCGTTAAGCTCATCCTGCGGGCAGAAGCCTCCTTAAAGGATCTCCTATTCGCGTGAATCAAATTGAAGTTCATCCGTCGATCCTGGTGGAGAAACTTGTATGCCCCAATAATTGTCTTGTAAATGTCATTTTTGCAGATGTTACTGAATAGGAGGCGCTTCATATTTTTGAGGATGCTTGCGTACTGCTGCTTGTCGTGTATGAAGAGGAGGGTGTGCGCGTAGAAGAGGCAGTCGTTGTCGGTGATGTGGAACAGCGCGTCGCGGAGGAAGTCACGCCCGTGGGATGGCTGGTTGGATTTCTCGTCGGTACGATGATTAGCATCTGTTTCGTCAGGTCGCTCGCGAGGCTGATCTCCATTGGTCTCCTCCCACAGGTTGTCCCTCTGCAGAGCTCTCCCCTTCTGACGGCCACTGTACAGCCGCTTCACATGTTCGTAGACATGCCTCCACTTGGTGCGGTACTCCAAAAACAAGTGCACGACGTGGAGAAGGAACATATTCATGTCCTCATTGTTCAGCTTTATCTTAACGTAATGGATGATATCGTCAAGGAAGGAGAAGTTCTTTTCCAACAGGATGCAGAAAAGACAAGCCAGGCAGTACGTGAAGGTGTAATCCCACTGATACACATTAATAACGTTGTCTGCCAGATTGTACTTTTTCTTGTAAACTAAGATCTGTATGCACAGGGAGATCTCCGCTCGTTTGCAGTTAATGATGTTCACTGGGTAACCCAACTGGGCGTTCAGCAATGTCTGTTGTAGGGTTATGAGGTCCATGCATCTGTGGTGTGTACCGGAAGGGGGGAAAATTGTGAGGCAGGTGCACCGTATGTGCACTCGTGTTGAGTAACCATATGTATGTTCATACCGCTTCGGCTATCAGAAGGGGACTCCCTTTTCTCGTGGACGTGTCGACTTATGGAGGGACCTACCTGTGTATCGTGTCAATAGAGACCTGATGATTCAGCCCCTTCTGTGTCTCTCCAAAAAGGATGTTAAAATTGCTGGGGCGATAAAATTTTCTGCTCCCTTTGTGACGGCGGCCGTTGTTAGACATTATAAGGGGTTCGTGGGGAAGTTGCCGTGTGGAGGTAGCTTTCATCTTGGAGCTACCACAAGGGGGGAGGGGGTGCAGGGTTGAAATGGGGCACTATTCAAAATGGCGCTCAGAATGCCGCTCAAGAGGTATGGTGCAAAGATGCATGTCCTCCATTCGAAAAGCAGAGACACAGAGCTAACAGGACTGCTCCGTCGAGCCTCTTAACTGACGAAAGGAAATTACCCCTTAAACGTGTTAGTGATCAGGGTGAGGTTCACGAGGGCGCTGTTCAAGTAGCCATTTTGTGTATCCCTACAAGGAGGAGCATTTAAAAGGATTTTTTTGTTTTTTTTTTTTTTATGGTGGTTTGGATATGGGTGGTTAGTTGTTCTCATCGGAATGGATCCCTCTGAGCGGGCACACAATGGATGATTTCGTGTTTCCCATTTGGCTTCTTCTATTACGTGTTTTGCGCGATGGAGTAGTTGTGTACGCAGAGTATGACCGCATTGAGGTAGTCTCCTGAAAAAACCTGAGAAGTGTTGTGCAGGACAAAATCGTTTACTTCGCTATGTTCGTGACCTTTCGGGGGAGAGGGCATTGGGGTGTCTGAGAGGTTATGTGTGCACCTACCAGGTAGTTGTAGAGTAGGGCGTACATTCGGTGCCGCAGCAAGTGGCAATTTATTTCCTGAGCGAGGAGGGGGGGAAATAAGAGGTTGGTTTATCATTGGTGGGAGGCATGCCAGAGGAAGGTAACTGATGGGGAGAGGACGCAGAGTGTGCGAGCACGACAGAGTTTTCGAAGCGCAACGGAGCGGAGGAACTTACGCGCTGGAAGCAGGGGTCCTCGAGGAGAGACGCGTTCTGGAAGGCTTTGTAAATGTAGTTGTGTCTGCACGCCCTCTTGATGATGCGGCTGAACTGTGCACTGGACGCTCCCTGTAGGGGGGTGGAAGTGGAGGGAGAGCATCACAGCATGAGCGCGGTTTTTCCGCTGTGCAGTTGTGTGGTTGTCCCCACGCACACTAGGTAACGTTCTCCTTTTCGGCTCACCTTCTTTCGGATGATCCTGAAGCAGTTCTTGTACAGGTCACTCTTGGCGCAAACGCTGAGGAGGATGTCCGGCGAAAAGTAGCTCCTCAGGAGGGACAGCCGGCCGCGGTCACACTTGGCTAGGTTGTAACTTGGTAGCCGCAGGCACCTGCATGGAGGGCAATTAGTCAAAGCAGTAAAAGGATAAAGCGGTAAAGAGGCAAATCGGTGAAGGCGGCGCGACAGTCGCAACAAGGGCCACGAAAGCGCCACTGCGGCTACACTTACCGAGAGCCATGAGGCAACAACAGGGACATGACGAAGAGGAAGTTCCTTGTTTTTCCCGCACAGGTTCCGCCATCAACCCGCCCCTTACATTTAGAGAGAGCCATATCTGCACACACCTCCTGGAAGCTCTTCTTAAAGTACTGAGCGGACAAAGCTAAGTTGCTGCTCGGGTGTGCATAGCACAGAGGGAATGAACAGGAGGCATCCATCTCATGGAAGAAGCGCTCATAGTGATTAGCCAACTGAACGGATGAGAAGAACTCCAACACAGGTCTCTGCAAAGAATCGTTGTGTATCATTTTTATGTACTCTTGGAAAAGTTCCAATTTTTGGGCTAACAGATTCATATTTCGATCCACTCTCTTCTGTCTTAAGTAAGTTGAAAATGTGAAGGTCTTTTGTTTGTTCCTAAGTTGGTTTACTCGTGACTGGTCATCCTTCCTCATCATGTTTATCCCACCAATGAGGAGTCTCTTCCTTTTTTTATGGCCCCAATTGATTGTCCCTATTTTGGTGCCTTCTCCTGCTGTTTGTGGGAAGTCACTTGGACGTACTGGACAGCCTCCTAGATCTACTGAGCACTGCTCCACGGGATGCACCCCTTTGTCGATGACCACATAGGGGTTACCTATATGCCCAATGACATATAGAAGGAGCTGCTTCTGTGTGAGGCCTCCTACCGATTGAATATCTCGGCATTCCCCTCCAAAATTCACATCATTGTGGTAGCTGTATAAATAGGAGAAAACTACTCTGGTGAGGAGGTGCCTTCTGACGTAGATCGAGGCGGATGGAGAGTAAATGGTCCGTGCAGAGAAGTCGAAGGTGCCATCAGAGAGTAAGTCCCTTCGGTTTAGTCTGGAAGAAGGAAGAAGGTTTTCACTCCGGTTGGGAACAAATCCCTGGTGGAACAAAGCCACATCATCGCTTCTAACAAGATGATAAGTAACAGAGGGAGCTGCTCCCTTCGAGAGTGAGTCCCTCTTTTTTACTTCGAGCCGCATGTGTCCCAAATAGGTGTAACCCCTCCAGGGGTGGATGCCGCCTCCAGAGCTGACTTGGAGGACCATTTTGTATATCACCCCTGGGTCATGTCTTCGGGCAGCTTTGTCAATGCTGCTGCTGTTACTGCTACTCCTACTACTTCTCCTCCTCAGCAGTTTATAAGTCGGCAACTCATTTATCCCCATGTGATTATTCATCCTCCCCAAGACTTTCACCCCCTTATGTACATTCACATTGGCAAAGTAGGAGAGTAACTTCCTGTATTTCTTGTAAACATTGCTAGAGCAGTGGTACGTGCAGCGAAAGGAAAAAAATAGATTCAGAGACAAGTACAGGTCCATGTTGCACTTGGACAAGAGTGCCATGTAGAAGGCGAGCACGCTGAAGTGGAGCCGCTGCACCTTCCGCAACAGGTGTTCTTCATTCAGCGCGTTCGCTCCCTTGCATCTCATTCTACTGCGCTTCGAAGCATCCCTTTGAGATAGTTCTCTTGTTTGGTCGGCCCTCAACTCACGGGCCACAACTCCTGCCTCATCCACGAACTGCCTATACACACACGTCGCGTGGGCGTACCTATAAACATAAAAGTTGTTGAACTTCTTAAAGGGTAGCACTCCTCTGGGGATGTCTTCTTCTCCGCATCGAAGCAATGACACGATATTTTTCACCATTTTGTATTTTCTGAATCCTCGTTTTGAGCTAGCCAAGGGGAAGAACAAAGTGGGTTCTCCTAACACGCCAAAGGAGTTAACATCATAGATGTAGCAAGAATAGATTCTATGGATCAGTTGGTTACACAGATTGAAGTTCTTCACCTTTAGCAAATCAATCAGATCTTTTATGTCAAGCTTCATGACTGACTTTAGGTGCACTCGGAACCGTAGGCACGTCTGCACATATATCAGCATAGGAAGCAATATACACAGAAGGTTGCTTTCTCTTCTCACTTCTCTGTAGTTTGCGTAAAAGAAGAAACATACTTTATAGAAGGTATACATAAGGATGTTTATGCCCATTTGGGGTTTTCCTCCACTGTTCTGGTTGCATCTTCGTTGTGGTGATTCCTCCGATTTAATGATATTATAATGCCTGATGTATGCTTCATTTCCGCCCTTCCCCTTTGTCTTAACCCGGTTCGCGTTGAGGTGTTTGTGAAAAAACTGGCCGAACAGGCTGAACTTCTTTTTGAACTTCCCATGTGGCAACGTCTCCTTCCCATTGACGCTCACGGGACGATTCACTTGGTGCAGCTTTTTCAGTTTTACGCAGCTGTTGAGGGCGTTCTCCCCCGGCAAGCGAGGAAACATCAGGTCGCACACCCGGTTACACATCCGGTCACACATGCGGTGGCACACCCGGTCGAAAAGCTCCTGTGTGACGCGGAGAAACGTGGCGTACACAAGCTGCGCATTGTATTCTCCACGGATCAACACAGCCAGCTCCAAAACGTATAAACATTTCGACAAGCTGTAGGGAAGGGCGTTCTCTTGGTGAGTCTCTTCTCCGAAGTGTTTCCTCCTCGTTGGATGCTCTTTCCAAAGTCCACCCTCGGAGGAAAAACACTTGGAACAATCAAGATGAATGTACAAAAAGGCGTAACGAAAGATAGTGTGCAATCTAGGTCTGTACAGGTCATTCCTGAGGATGAATCTAATTAAGTCTAACTTATCCCTCCAGAGAAGTGAAAGAATAAGTTCCCTCAGTTTCATTTTTCGCACTGATTGCAACTGCAAGGAGTGCGAAACGAATGCCAACAGGTAGTACTTCTTCACGAAGGTTGTCTCAAAATGGGGAAGGATGAAGGAAAAGAAGTGTTGCATGTCATGGTTGTCTGGATCGTATAGTACACTGCTTAGTAAAGTTTTGACTTCCTTTTCCCCCTCTAGATTCTTCAAAAAGGAAATAATTTTTTTTTTCTTCCTCAGATTGTTGCTCCTCCAGAGATGTACAATGTAAGCTGCGTTGCATTTTCTCTGCAGTCTTAGTATCATCTCCCTTTTGGACACGCTGGTGATTGGACCCAATTTGTAATTGAGGAGAAAGGGGGCATGTTTGAATAGCCTATTTTGCGTGATGAATTGCAGCGTGTCTTTCTCCCCCATTGGTTCGGTCAGAATCGCTTTGAGGATCCTCACCCAGTGGGTGCGTTGTGTTATGAAGCGGTGGACTGGTTTATGGGGGTCTCCACTTTGAGGAATCCTTGCAGTGTGGAGTCTTACCTCAGTGAGGACCCGCTGCACCTTCCTGACCATATGAAGCGCCCTCACGTAGACACCCACCTTGGCAACATTCACAGGCAGGCTGTTTGGGAGTCTCCCAAAAGTGTAGCAGTCGATCTCGTCACAGTTGCGGAGGGTATCCACGAAGATGACCTCGTGTTTCCTTCGAAATTCTTGGCACCTACAATAGGTTGTATTCACGATTAGGATCACCTCTTGCAAAGTCATCCTACTCAATGTGTCGTGATCCTCCATGAATAAATCTACGACGACATCGAGAAGACTCTCCAGAGGGGTTGTCTCGCTGAGGAGGTATGTCAAGAGTTGTTCCTTTTTGGGAGAGGTGCCAGGTGCACTAAATGTTTCCCTTTTTGATTTAAATGGATTATTGGAAGCTTCCTCGCTGGAGGTATTGTGCATTTTACCCAAAAGGGGGGCGTAAAACGTGTTTAGCTTGTTCGTTTGCAGCTTCTCCGTGTTAAGTCCCACGGTTGCCTCCCCCTTGGGTGCCTTCACCAACTGGTACAGATGAAGACAGTCCATGTTATGCTGGTTGTCGAAGATGGCCGCGTAGAGGAGGCACTTCGTGAAGCTGTTCAGGTGTTTCAAGTCGTTGTACTTGAGCCAGTAGACACCCACCCCTCGGCCAGCGCTGCTAACATGGCTAACATCACTATCATGGCTAACCGCCTCCAATACGCTGTTCGTCGAGGCCCCCCTCTCCCTGTGACAGATCCAGAAAATCTTCTTAATAGTGCTATACCTCTCCACGAGGAGTCTATTCAAAAAATTGTACTTGGCTGAGAAGACATATCCATAGAGGGTGTTAAAAATAAATGGGAAGTAGTGGTCGCACTTTTCCAGGCATATGAACAGATTTATTAGCTCATCTTTGTCTTCCATGCTGGGGTTGTCATCAGGGCAGTGCTTCTTCGAGCTACAAAGATGCTGCTCAGGGGAGATCTCCTGGGAGATCTGCTGGGACATCTCAGCAGGGTTACCTCTACGTCGAGGTGGTCCCATTTGCCCATCTGATGGTACCCCCTCCTGTGTGTCAATCGCGTGATGGACGTACTTCAAAAGGAGTAGCTTCAACTTGCACGTTTTTTTCTTCCTTTGTTTTCCCTCGGGGGGAGCCACTCTTCGCTTCACCTGCTCCAGTGCCCCAACGACATCCGTAAGGAGAAAGAGGAACTCTCCCGTTAGGTACTTCTCCTCAGGTTGTTCAGCACATTTCTCTTCCAGGTAGTTACGCCCTAATGGGGATTTCCGAGCAGTCCCCTCTGTATTTGGCGTATCTGTGCGGACAAAAGACGGCGTGAAGATTCTATCTGGTGAGTTCTTCCCCCAATCAAACAGAAACACAGGAAACGTATTTTTCATACAACACTGAGTTGCAATATTCTGGACGAGTACACTGTGGTGATGAATAAAGAAGAGAGAACACATCCTCCTGGCATTGCCAAAGGAGTTACGCAGGAAAAGAGCGAATTTTATCAGCCTGTCTACATTTATTGTTAGAATGAAAAATAGGTTGTAGTTGATCCCCCCCTTTTCATACACAATTTGAGAGTCGGAGAAATTGTCCTTGGACTGGGAAGCGAACTGGTAAAAGCTTTTCTGCGGTGATCTCTCCTCCATTGAGTTGTGCACATATTTAATAAGGATTTTTGCGTAAAGAAAAAAAAAAAACAGATAATTGATGGTAACCCCTTCGTCATTCTCTAGCAGCAGGTGGCAGTACTTATCCAGACACTTGTTCATCTCTTCATAGTTAACGTTTATGTATTTTTTTTTCTTCCTTTTTAAGTTATTGAATCTGAGGAACATGTCCTTTAGGAAGTGCTTTCTCTTGTACAGGTCCACGAAATATTTTTCGATCAATTTGGATTGCACCTTTAGAGAGTTACACTTCAGCAGCAGGTACTTGTTTAGAAGCACTGGTTTCACCATCCGTGGTGCCTTCCTCGAGGGGGGTGTTTCTGTTCTTTGTTGTTTCCACCCATTCTGGTTTTCCCTATTTCTTTCCCCCCAGGAGGGCCTGTTTTTTATGCTTATGAGCACGTGCAGCCGGTCGACGAAGCAGAGGAGGAAGTGGGCCAGGCGCGCGGCGGGGGAAGGCGCATCGCCACGCGTCTTTCCATTCACTTCGGCACGTGTCTTCCCGCTTAGGGCACTGCCCCTGCGTATCCTTCTCCTCACGAAGCGCAGCAGGGCCGCCCCACTCTCCACCGTGTTCGAGCACGACACGCACATGTCCAGAAAGTTATAAAGAGAGAACAAGTCGATACCACAGCTATTCGGCAAGAGATACTTGTTCACCTCGTTCCATCTGTATTTCTCATAGTAAAAAAGCATCATTTGGAAAAAGGGGGTGAGTGACTTCTTCTGAAGTGTGGTCTCTCCTCTCCTGCACCATGACAATATAGGCTGACCCATGTACAGGCTCTTAAAGAGTGTGTTCAATTCGAGGTAGTGCAACAGGTTCTGCAACGAGCTTTTGGACACCTGATTTCTGTATATAAAGAATATGAACATGTTCAGATGATTGTTCCTCCCGTCTGCAACGTTCCTATAGAGATACTCCTGCGGATCGCTGCACATGAGTTCCAGGAAGTACCTCCCGAAGTCGGCGGTCTTGAAGTCGGCGATGTTGAAGTCAGCACTTTCGAAGGGCGCATTCCCTCTATGCAGAGCACCCAAGGGTAGTATCCGCCTGGTGGAGGAGCGCCTCACTGCCTTCCTTCTACGGAGCTTCTTCCTTCTCAGGCACCTCTCCACCATAACTACAAAATTGAAGATGGAGCCTCCCCTTCTCCGTGCGCCACTCCGTTTAGACGTCCCTTTGGTGTGAACTCTGAAGGACGAAATTCTTTTTACTTTTCCTATTAGGTGACTCACCAGAATCCGTTCTGCTGTTCCTCTTGTGGATGGCAGCATGGGTCCTATCCGTTGACGCGATATTTTTCCCTGTGGGGTGGCAGATACAGGGCGCTCAAATAAGCCCAGTTTTTTTGCCCCCTCAGCAGAGTCCTTACTACCTCCCATTTGTAGTACTTCCTTCTGATTACCCCCTTCATTGGAATATTCTCCGATCTGGTACAGCGCTGCTTTTTCTGCATCTTCCCTGCCCCTCATGCACAATCTGTAGGAATCACTTAGAACCCGTCTGAACCCGCTTTTTCCGTTTCTTGACTTCACATGTATGCCTCTACACTTTTGGATGAAGACAAACAGACGGACATACACATCGCATACAATTTGCATTAACAAACATTTCAAGTTGGATAAAAAGAGAGATTTGTCTTCCTTGATGGATCTCAGCTTATGTGACAGAAAGTGTATAGTCCACATGAACAGCTTTGGCTTCATCCCTTCCTGTCTACTGTGTATGCACTGGAAGAGGAGGACAGTTATGTAGAGGAGGGCTTTTACGCGGCACTCTCGGTAGCTTATTAGTTTGTAGTAGGTCCTGATCTGCTCCACGTTTCTGCGCCTGTATGGGAGAAGAAGTAACGTAGTATATGGGGTGGAAGAATTACCCTAGCGTGTGGTGAGCAAAGTTAACAGACGGAAGGGTCCACACCCACTCGAGTGACTTACCCCTGCAGGCAGAGAAAGACACTCCTCATTGATGCGTAAAAAAGGAGGAAGTTCGTATTCATTCTTGTTTCCCGCCTGTACAGGTCATTCTTAATGTTACACCGACCCATCTGTGCCATTTTCGCGAGAAAGGAGTATCCAACATGCGGCAGCAGGTTGAGCTGATTGAGTAAAGCGGCACTGGATGACTGCTTGAGTGCGAGAAAAAGCTCATTCTCTGTTAATCTGTGTTCCTGCGATCCGTGGTTTACTGTCCTCTTCTGTTTGTGCAAATGGTAGTGATGGGAGGAGATCCTCACTCTCACCTTCATGTCTTTTATGTAGTTGTAAAGGTACAGATTGTTCCTACTGGCCTTCATCTCTGAGAGGCATTTTCGTTTCACGTGGACATCCATGGCATTCTCCAGGCAGAACAGCACGCAGAGGTTTTTGAGCGCCTTAAAGTTGTGAAGTAGTCTGTCCAGATGGAGGAACTCGTGGCTAGCCATATGCGCTTCGCAGAGGTCGAACAGGTAGCTGAGGTTCGGAAAAAAAAAAAACAAAAATTAAAAAAAAAATAAAATAAAATAGAAGATGTAAAATGAATTACGGCCATGTGGGGTGGGTCAGATCATCTCATGAAGGGATCTTTCAATTACCCGAGGAAGTGGACGCCCCTAATCCGTGAGGTGTTGAGACAAGACAGGAGATCCTCCTTCCCCCCACTGTGCACGAGAGAGTACATCACGTGAGAGTACAGGACGCTCGTGTGCACCCAGCGACAGTACAGATCGTCTGCATAGTTGAACAGGTGAAGAAGTACATTGACAACTAGGCCTTCATCGGAACAGCGAAACGTGTTCGTAGACATAAGTATATCATAAATGACGCTCTTCTTGTGATTAGCATTTTGGATCGTCCATTCTTTCCTTTTATCTCTCATTTGATGGAGGTAAAAAAAAAAGATGGCTCGTATGTGTGAGTAATTAATGGGTAGGTGGAGGACGACTCCCCTGAGGAGGATTTTGTAAAAGGTGACATCCTCTCTGTTTTGATTCTTCTTCTGCTTCCGATTCCACTTCTCTCTGTTTGGTGGGTACTCCGGACAGTGGCCAAAGTGGTGAACTGCGCCTTCGTCACCGTTGTAGTGGAAGACGAGGAGGACCAGCCAATCGTAAACTTTGTGCAGAGCCTTTTGAGCGAGATGGAGATTCTTTGGGGGGTTGATTCTCAGGTGTTTCTCCCCCCTGTTGATCCTTACATTGGTGTGATCAGATGAGTCAAGTGGGTACTCTCTCCAGTGAGTATCTTCCCTGGTGGATTCTCCACCTGTGACACACCCCACATTTGCAAAGCAAAGGGAGAAGAAAAAAACGTTGTTCACAAAAATGTGGTTAAACTTGAGCAGGTATAAAAAATTGTAGTAATTCACCAAGTCCTTTCTTTTTAACTTTTCCACCAAGACATCCATGTAGATGTTAACTATACCGTAGTATAGCTGCATAAATATGAAGTAGCAATTTTTTATCAATTTTTTATCAATATGTTTCTGTTTTTTTTCTTTTTTTCTCACTAGGGTGAGTAACGTCTCCTCCCTTGTCTTCGTTTTTGTCTTCGTTTCAGCCTGTGTCTCCGTCTCCGCCTCTGTCTCGAGTGGTACGTCCTCCTTGATGGGGTTCCGTCCTTTCGTGGCGCTTTCCCTAATCTGCATGGAAACACCCTCTTCGCGAGCTGCCCCCAATGATGGGGTGCCATCTGATCTATCCTGCAAATAATTGCTACCCACGGAGTGACTCCAATTGGAAAGAAAAAGAAGACTCAGAAGGAAATCAAAAAAGGACTGATTTAGACACAAGGTCTTAAGTAGCTGGACGGCTAGGGCAGGGAGAAAAAACACCAGGTAGAAAACCTCCCGATAAAGTGAAGTCACAACGTTGTGTTGCAAAAAATAATGTGTCTCTTCTTCAAAGGTGTTTATGTAATTATATATGGGCGCCTTATTAATGATGTGAAGCGGGGGGATATATATTATGTGCATGGATGGGGTTCCTTTCTCTTTGTTTTCCTTCTTTGCATTGTTACTTTCACGGTTTGGCGAAACTACATTGACACTGGGTCTGACCCGGTGGTCCTTCTCACCATACACCACTCTGCAGCTCTGAAGAACGAGCTCGTCTATTTTATGTAGCTGATCTGTTTCTCTCACTTTTAGACGATAAGACTGTTTTGCTCTTCTGTTGGGAGAGTTATCCATGGGGGGGGTGCTCTTTTCCTGGGGAGGACGTCCTCCGGTTGGCGCGTTGAACGGCACAATGCGGTTAAATAAGTCCAGGAGGTGCCATTGTCCCCGATTGCAGTCCCGCCTGTTTCTCCGCTTCTGTCTCCGCTTCTGTCCGGACTTCCGTCCGCGCTTCCCCCTTCCCAAGAGCAGCTCCCCCGCCTTCAGGTGCAGATAATATATCCGCCTTAGACACTGCACTGTATCCAGTGAAAAGGAAAAAAACGAGGGGTCTTCGAATGCGCAGAGGTAGTATTCTCTGTGCACAACTATGGTTGCCAGAAGAGCGTCGAAGGCAATTTTCCTCTGCAGCTGCTTAGGCACATACTTCTTTCTCAAGAGGGAACGAATCTGGCGGGGCAGTCTCGGGACGCTTCTCCATGGTTGAGCTGCGAGGTGTCCATTCCTCACCCCAGAGTTTAGTAGGTTCCGAAGTATCAAATCAACAAACCGGTTGTAGTCCCGTGCCACCTTGAGTAGGAAGTGTGCACTGGATTGCTCCTTTGAGAAAATCTGCAGAGGAGAGCAGCCATAAGTTAAAAACCTTCTCATGAACTTGATAGTCTTCTTTAAGTAGTAGACCTTCTCCTCTCTCGAGAGGTCCCTTTTGCTGTCCCTTTTGCTGTCCCTTTTGCTGCTTCCTTTGCTACCCCTTCTGCTGCCCCTCGTGAAGTCATCCCCCGTCAACAAGCACTTAACCACCAGATGGTGTAGTAGTGACCGAGCCAGCTCATACTGTGACAAGTTTATGTAGTTGGCTATGATGGTAAAAATTGCCTTCCGGTTGGTTTGGGATAGGAAGGAGTACTTCATTTTGTGTGTTGTGTGCTGGCGGAAGGCTTTCCTATGGAGGGGCTTGCACAGGCAAGCACATTTATAGTACATTCATAGTACATTTATAGTACACTTAGAGTACACCGATAGTATACCTATGTGTGCGTGAAGAAGCTGAGAAAGGAGTGTTTCACCCTGAGAGGCAGCCAAATAAGGGTTTCACCTTCCCAGTGGAGATTTCCACACACAAAATTACGGGAAGAGAAGGGCAGCGCCCCCAAAAGGTTACTCATCTTAGCATAGATTGAATGGAAAACTATTTTTTAGGGGAACTTATCTGAGTGGCCATTTGCACACAGTCCACCCTTTTCCAATTTAAAATTTTTCCGAGGTTAAGCATGTTGAGAAAGCGCCGAAAGAACAGGAAGAGGAAAGAAGAGGAAAAAAAAAGATAAAAAAAAAAAAAAAAACTGCACTATGGGGGGGGAGTAAATATCAAGGAAGGTATACCCCGTGCGGCGCACAAGGGACGGCTCCTCATTGGAGTGCCCCCATGTGTCTGCGCAGCGAGGCTAACGCTCCGCCAGGACGGCCAACTTCGTAACCCCACCAACTTCACAGCACCGCCAACAGCGACAACTTCACAACTCCGCTATCTTAGAACTGAGCGGCTGCTGGAAGATGGAGAAGATCTTGTCGAAGTAAATCTGCGCGTACACGTCGTTGTGCACGAGGCTCTGCAAGGACTGGCGAATGGTGTTCCTCTCCTCGTTGTAGTTAATGCAGAACTGACTGTTCTTCAAATTCAAGTAGGTGAGAAAGTTGGAGATATTTGGATACTTCATCTGTAGCCCCTTCGTTATGGTAATCCCGAGTTCCTTCTTGTTGCATATGTCGTCGTAAGCCTCCACCTTGATATTTTTCTTCCCTCCTTTCTGGTCGCTAAAGATGTGCGTTTTGAACTTATCATCAACGCAGACATAAACGAGGACGTCAGATGCGTAGGGGGTTCCTCCATCGGGATGGTTCGCAGCGGGGTGTCGATCTAGCTTCTGCTCAGCGGTGTGTCCGTATAGCCTCTCCTCAGCGGTATGTTGGTCTAGCTTCTCTGCATCGGCAGTGTCGCCATCCCCAGCGCTGGGCGCCCGGCGAATCTTCCCCTCGACGAGGCGTTCCGGAACTTCCCTCAAATTGTCCTTGAGCAGAAAGAGAAAATACTCCAGCATGAGATAAATATACTTCTTCGAAACCAGGGGCTTCAGGGAACCCTTGGGATTTTCGCAATTGGGGCTTGGACAATCCTTAGACTCTTTAAGAAGCACACGTCTCGTCTTCACCAAGCAGGTACTACACACGTAAAGCTGTTTGTAGAAGGTAGCAAATAAATGGTAAACGAAGGAAAAGATGTAATTCCGTATCTGTTCGATCGAGAAATACCTAAGGCAGTTATTGCATCGAAAGTATTTTATGAAGATGGCTGGCTTGACATTGTGTGTACAGTATGAACAGGTCAGGTAGCCCTTCAAGTGGATGTCCTTGAATCTCTCTTCTGACTCGTTTAGTAACGATAGGACATTTGCTTCCTGATAATTTTCTTCAATCTGGAGCTCAGTTTTTATTTCCCTGACATCGAAGATGTTAAAACAGGAAGCCAACTTCTCTGCACTGGTTCCTTCGATGTACTGACATAGTCGATTGATAGGAGAAAGGATCTGGTTCCTAATGTAGTAGTCCTTGTCGATCTTCATATTATGCTTTTGTATTTCGCTGACACTGAAACAGCAGAGGGAATTGCTCAGCTTCTCGTTGCCCGACTTGTTGAAAAATCTGGAGGCGTCCTCGCTCGTGCACACACAGTATTGGATCTCCTTATTGACGCTGATATTGTAGCCGTCTTTCATCATGCGCTCCGCCACCAGGACGTGCCCGAGGGAGTTTTTCTCCTGGTACTCGCTCACGTTCTTGGTCAGCTTCTTCGTGATCACGAAGAAGTCCAGGTCGAACCTGCGAGGGGGAGCAGAAGTGGGAATTGGAGAAGCGGAGAAGTGGAAATGCAGCAAGGCGAGGGCAATAAATTTACGCGGTGCTGCATTGCCCCTACGCTCCTCCGTACACTCCGCTTGACTTACTCGTCCGCTTGGATCCGCTGGTGCACTCCGCGCAGGTACTCATGGATCTGCTCCGAGAGGTCGTTTTCCATGGGGAGCTCCGTGTCGCCAGCGCCCGCTCCAGATCCCTGGCCATCCTTGCTACTAAAAATGATCTTCAACACGTCATTCCCAATCAGTTTTGAAATTTTACTAAAGTCCCTTTTGATAAAATTGATTCCCTTCATTTCGTATTCACACCTCTCCATGTTGGCATCCATGACCTTTGCACAGGCATACTTCTTCTTTTTCAGAAGGAGGAGTTTACTAAAAATACACTCGAGGTCTAGTTCGAGCCTCTTGTAGCTCTTGTTCACGGTATTTTTAATGATGTGGGCTAATCTAAAGGCCTCTTTGTAGTTATTCACTCCGTGCGCCTTTATGCCTGTGTCTATCATGATCGAATCGGTGTCTCCATAAATCACCTTCAAATTGAATTCCCTCTCCACTCTAGACTTGGTGTGCTGGAGTAGGTTCCTTCCCTTGAGTGTAATAAACGAAGCGATGTGTTTAGCGTAGAAACGGTTGTTTGTATTTCCAAGGCAACCATATATGCTATTACTGATAAGTTTTATGGATAGGGACTGGATTAGGAGGAGTTCTTTCTTCTCCTTGTTCTTTTCATTTGCGATTAGTTTTTTTATGAAGGCTCTCTTCTCCACAAGATTTTTAAGGATGGAGGGTAGAATACCCACCTTGGTTCTGTCAAAGTCTTCAATTTCGATGGCTTCGCTTGGGGCGAGAGCCTCCCCCGAGTCCGCTTCCGCCACGTCTGTGGAGTCCGCCAGATCGCCTATCTCCTTCGCGGTGTCATCCCCGTAGGCGGCGTCAGTCCTGTTTGAGGCTGCCACCCCGTTGGAGTTTTCCACCCCGTTGATGACTTCCCCATCGATGTGGCTACTTCTCTCCTTCAATGTGCTGAAGCAGACGTTGTACTCGATGATAATAGACGGGTAGAGGCTGTTAAAGTCGAGGTAGAGGACGAACGTGTCGTAGTAGCCGCAGAGGGGGTCCAGTACGAGTCCCCCCGAGTACTTTGCCGCAGCTTTGTTTTTTACTTGTTCGTTTTCAATCTTTTTAATTCTCTTCTTAACCACAGGGGTGATGAACTTCTTCCTGTTATACTCGTGGAGAAGAAAGTATTCAATCCTCTCGCTGGTGTAGCATAGTAGACTCCTGGCCCAGAGGTAGCCACTTAGTTTGGTGAGGTCTCTAGTCTTCTCGATGATCTGCAGCACTTTGCACACGTTTGATATTTCTTGCACAGAGAAGAGCTGGCTGTGTATATACATGTTCAGGTGATTTTCGAGGATTTGCTCCGCGTCGTACAGGTGGATGTTGCTGCAGTTCAGCAGGTTGATGTTGTTCACGGAGAAGTCTTTGTAGACGTTGGGGCGGGGAGCACTGGGGGAAGCGGCGTCGGTCGAGTTGGACGCATTGGCCGACCGGCCCCTGTCCTGGAATTTATTCCTGACGCTGTCGATAATCTCGTCCATGCTGTAGCTGGTGAGCTTGATCAAATCCTTGCACAGCATGTAGATGTCCACGATAAGTCTCCCCTTGATATGCTGAATGATATTATACATGGACCCGGTGCTGCTGGTGCCGTTGAACTTATTGACTTTCATTTTGTCGTTCTTCTTGAGCTTCTTCTTCCTGCTCAGAAAATCTGCGTTTAGATTATGCACATTGCATCGATGTATGAGGAACTCCAAGTCGAAATTCAAAATGTTGTAGCCGATATAGATGTCCGTGTCGAGGGGTCTCAATTTTAGGAGAAAGGCATCCAGGAGGTTCTTTTCCGAGTCGAATATCTTGGCGTTGTTCTTATTGTATGTAAAGAGCGTTTTTTTTTTTTCCGCCTTGGCAGATATGCCGCAGAAATTGATATACTTCACCCCTCCTGCGTCTACCATGGAGCAGATGCTGAACACCTCGTGGTGGTTCTCTTCGTTCAGGAGCGACACCACCTTGATAATGACTTTGTTCAGGTCCAGATCGATCAGGTGGCTGATCCCCCCTGTGGTGACGTCCCCCTTTTTGTGCGTCTCGTCAGGGGTGGGAGCACCGCTGTTGCCACCGCTAACCGGGATAATCTCCGCACTCCCAGGGGATACCTTCCCCTCGAGCCGCTTCTCCACCGGGTAGACGTTCTTCCAGTTCGCAGTAGTGCAGTCGAAGTAACAGTAACTCAAATTGTTGCTCGGGTTCATCTTCATCCCCTTGACCTTCACCCAGCAGGGGAGCTTCAAATTCTTCTTAATGATAAAATTTTCTATGATGTCCTCATTGCAGCAGTAGAAGGCGGAGTAGGTCCTTCCAGACATGTACCTGTCGCTGATCGGGTCACAGTTGTACGTGTAATAAATCTTCGCATACACATCTTCATCACTCGAGCTGAGATTCAAATTTCTGCGCTTCACGATTTTGCACTTGATGCTTTCAATGCTGTGGTGCTTCCTCACGGCTTGGAACTCCTCCAAAAAGTCGGACATAATGCATGTGTTGTAATTCTCGTGCCCATACTTTATTTCGAGTCCATCTTTTCTATAAATCATATTTTTCGACAACAGGAAGTAGTAGCATCTGTACATGTCCTCAATATATATGCTCACGCTTCTATACAGCTTAAACTTGGACCTGGTCCTTCCGAACAGGATGATGCTGTTTCTGTGCTTGCATATGTCGAAGAGGTATACGTTAACAAACCCACTTTCTTCATTTGCGACTAGCTCATCTGGTTTGTTCTTCAATCCGATAGCTCCGTTTAGACGACTCGTCTGCTGTTCCTGTTCCTCTTCCCCGTCGCAGGTGCTTCCCCTCGGTTCGTTCCTCATTTTGTGCGTCATGGGAGGAACGTCTCCCATTTGTAGGAATGTCTCTACGGGGTGGTTTTCCTCGAGCCTCGATACAATGCTACGCTGATCAGATTGTTGTCCCTCTGGGGTAGTATCCTGTTTGATACTACTGAGAAGTACATATTTTTCGCTTCCACCCTTTGCACCTTCTTCCTCCCCTTTGCAACTCTCCGTTGAACTTTCCCTTGGGGTGTGCTTAGTCTTTTCTGGAGTATCTCCCCCTAGATTGTCTTCCACTGCGAGCACTATCCTCTTCTTGTTTCTCTCCTGTGTCACTTCCCCATCGAGATCGTCTTCGTCCTCTAAAACGGTACACTCAACACTTTCGTGACACTTTTCCTTCACTTGCGCTTTTATCTGCTCATCTGTTCCTTTCGCACGAAGAACAGGGTTGTAGCCATTTTTTCTCTCCGCATGTACGGTAGCGCTGCTTGGGGACACTCCAGAGGGGTGATGCCTTCCGGAAGGAACATCACCGATCGAACTGCCTCTAAATTCACTAATATGCGTATTCCTATTACTACTATGGATGATCTGCCTAATATGACATCCTTCTTTTTCACTACGATCCCTTTCGTAAGAGTCTCTTGTCTTCCTCTTCGTGTTGAAATTGTCCGACTCGCTGCCACTAGAAGACGAATTCGCGTCCATCAATCGTTCGATGTTTTTTGCCTTCGATATTTCATCCTTGCTTAATTTACCTGTCGAGAAGGTCTTCTGGATCTTTTTTTCTCGGATGAAATCGTCTATGGGGGTGTTCCTCTTGGCCTTGATTTCCTTCTCGGCCGCTGGTGGTTGGGGGGAGGAGGAGCAGAAGAAAATGATGAGCAGGCGGCGGATGCAGAAGGGGGAGATGCTACAGAGGAAGGTGTCATTGCGGAGGAAGACTATATAAACACGTGATGGCCTTCTCCACCGTATACCCCACTCTCCTTCCACCGCGCCACTTACCCCTCTTCCGAAGAAGGGCGTAGTTAATATCCTCCACGATTACGTCATCGCTGGAGTCGAAGTCCTTGTCTCCTGCGAAAGGAACAGAGGGGAGCAGTCACGTGGGAAGCAGTCACGAAGAAGTCATCCCAAAGGGAACAAAACCAAGAGAAACATATTTGTGGACACCCCTTTTTTTCCTGAGTGGTCACCTCCTACGATGAAGTCCTTTAGAGAGTTCTTGTTTTCAACGTATCCTTCTTCGTCTACCACTTCGTAAATGTCGTCATTTTTGTTTTTCACCTGTGAGGGGGGAGGAGAAGCAATGAACAGAGGGAAAGAGAAAAGGTGGGCGCCTCCACCACAACACCCCTATGCATCAAGCTACTTCTCAACTGTCAGCATCTTTCGATTCACACAATTTATGGCTTCTCTCTAGCCACTTCTCCGGAGCGATTCTCACAAGTGGAGTCATTCACATGGTGTTTACAACACACAGAAGACGAAAAACCCAGTTGGGGAAGCCGTCACACAGTATCGTCACACTTACCTCGTAAAAATCCGTCGCCTTGCATTCTTTGGACCTCTGCTTCTTCAGCTTGTCGAACACATTACTCATGTTGGCGGCTCCTGGGGTGGTTGCGGTCGTACCAAATTTCACCTGCTAGCGAGGCGACACTTTCTGCTCTAACGGACAGCAGGCCCCTCTTGCGGACGCCTGTGGGTCTTCCGCTCGCCCCTTTCCCTCGGGCTAGCCCAAAAGCCGATGAAGTGAACACGGCAGATTATCAACTCGAAGGAAATGTCTGCTACTCCCTTCGGCGTCAGCCTTTTCGAAATTGTGTACGCCTTGGGTGCCCATGTAAGGATGTACAAATATATGCATGTGCATATTTGTGTACACTTGGGTGCTTCTATTTTTTTTTTTTTTTTTCCATGCTTGCGCGAAACGCCTCCCGCTCGCGCCGGATCGCTCAACTCATGGTGTGAGAAAAAAAGGTACAAATTATGTACTGAGAAAAAGAAGGTCACGTGGTGATGCCGATGCGTTGTGTGGATAGCTATGCAAACACACCCGCGGAGCTCACAGGGACGAAATTCTCCCAAATCTAGTTCACATTTGCCTCGCCTCGCCGTGCACATTTTGCGCGAGAGCCAACCACAGCGCCGCGAGAATTGTTCCCCCTTATCTTTACCTCGCAGTCACACATCGGATGCATTCGAAAGAAAGCGCTTAAGGGTATCCTGCCTATGCACACCAGCGCGTTCTCTTCAGTTGCGCGAATGAGTATGAGGAAAAATCGCATCTCAGAAGTAAACCCTGAAATGTACTCCGGAAGGTTAGAGCAATATTCTCCCTCAGCTTCACCTTTGCAAAAATAACGAAGCGCGTTATGTACAGGCTCACTCTGTTTGTCTTTTTTAATTTTTTTTTTTTTTTTTTTGCAACCACTTGAGAGGAAGTTTCTCCCTGAATTGAACGTAAAACTTGCACATGGCGCAAGTTTCGTTTTACTAGGTTAGGATTTTTTTTATCGCATACGAAAAGGTGGACGAGAGTGTAAAGGGCGTGTAAAAAAGGAGCATGTAAAGGACCACGTAAAGGGGTGTGTAAAAAAGGAGCATGTAAACGAGCGTGTAAACGCGCGCGTGAACTGTTTCCCTTCTCCACTTTGCTCCTCTCTCAGTTTTTGCGGTACGCCTCACGCTTCCGTATTGATTGTTCTGGGCACTCCCTTCGAAGTGTCACGTATTTCAGATCGAGGACGCCAATTGGCGCACGAGAGTTAAAGCGTTGCCAGCATAACGCGCAAAAGGGCTGACTTTTCCAATTTTAACCTTCTCGCAATTTTTAGTAAAGCGTTCATTTTATTTTTTTTTTCTTGCAACTTGCTTTTTCATTTTGGCTAGTCTGCCAATTTGAAATTTTTTTTTTCTGCGTTTTATTGCCGCTCATACCATTTTGGCTGTTTTCTTTTACTATTTCCCTTCTTGGCGGCCTCTTGGTACCCATATTTTCCCCCTTTCATGCATAACACATTCGGGATTTTTTTTTTTTCGCGCGCTCCGAGTGACTGGCAAATTGAGGAGATGCAAACGCGCGCAAGGAGATTTAGCAGAATTAGGGGTATATTTACTTCAGGACATGTTTAAAAGAAGGGAAGCAAAACGAATAAGATTATTTACCTGAACTGCTCATGCGAATGCGCGGCTGTACATGCGCTTTGGTATGCATATCTGTTCCAGCCCCCGGGTGAGACCTTCATGGTTGTGTGTGTAAAAAATTGCGACCGTTGTGAGGGCGCTGCGAGTTTTTTCTTTTTTTTTTGCCAATTAGCTTGTTTGGCGCGTTCACTCGTTCTCTACTATCGCCCGTGCGGCATGGTCCCCTGAGCGTTGCCAACATTGCATCGCCAGACTAGTGTAGCCCAACCTCTGCCACCAGCTACTTTCTACGCTAACCCAAAATGGTAAATTTCGGCGAAAACGGGAGAACCAGGCTGAGCGAAATGAACGTCCTCCAAAACGAAATGCAGGAGATAAACATAAACGACAGTGGCTCCAAGAACGACTACGACGATAACACTTACAATGACGCGAGCACGTGTCACGACAGCAACATGGTGTGCAACGAGAATGGCTCCTTCAGAGGAGAATTTACACCCATCAGAAACGATAACAACAATTCATTTACCGAGGGAACAGGTCTAACCGAGGAAGAAAGAGAAGAAGAGCCAAGCGGATGCAATGACAAGGAGTCAAAAGAAGTGCTCAATTGTGATTATTGCAACAAGCATGTGTATGCACAGGTGAAGACGTATACCCCCACCTTTGTATACCTCCTCGTAATCATTTTGTTTCTCTTGATCTCTTTCTTCACGATATTTTTAATACCTCTGTTGTATTTAACTTTTAAGCAAAAAAAATACACCTGCCCCCTCTGCAAAAAGAACTTAAAATCAACTGAAAAATTAATTCAAGTGAAGAGAGAAAATCAAATTTTAACTTTCCAGTTCCCCAAATGTGCAATAATAATTTCAGCAAAATATTTGGTTCTATTCCTATCTCTCATTTTTTTAATTTTTTTTTTTTACATCCTAAGAATTTCAAGCAATTTTAACTTAGACAATCTAGCCAAAGGTCCCTACATAACGGCTAGCTGGATGGACTACCTGGAAGATTGTGGACACAAGTCACAACTGAGAAATAAGTTTAACAGCATTCACAATTTTAGCATCAAATATGATGGGTACACAATTATATGGAGAGGACAGTTTCATCAAATAAAGGAAGGTTTCTTTAATAGCAATTCTTTGTTCATTCGAATGAACCCTTCGGAGTATCGTTACGACAAGCCTGACATCAGGGCTCTTTTCACCGACTCCCTAATTGCACAAGTGGAAAATTTACAGAAAAATGACTTAATTGAGTTTGAGTGCACTCTTATACAGATTAGCAAAAATAGAAACCCACATCTGTGCATCTTGTGGAATGTCACTTTGATCGAGAAATTCCAGCAGACCAACTTCAACGTCGTCGATTTTGTAAAGCACATGACCATTCTGGACATGATTAACAATAGCTCTAATGCGAATCCATTTTTCATGAATCTGAACAATAAGAACGGCGAGATGAAGCGCTCAATCAAGATTGTGCACCTCGCGCAGGGCGGGTTAAGCGGGGGGTTAGGCGGCGGGCTGGGCAATTCCCTCGAAAGTGGCCACCTCGGGGACGGCCTCTCCGACGCGAACTTATTCGAGACGCCCAACGTGCTGCGCACGACGGACGAGTATATTTTCAATTTGGGGGGCAACCAGATGAACCCTAGCCTCACCCGGGGCGTGGGGAGCGGCTCTAATTTTGCCTTTACGCAGGATGTGAGATCAAGTGGGAAGTTTAGTCTTCGCGATTTTGCGACTCGAATGGGAAGCAGGAAATCGGGGGTACGCTTCACGGACGACGAAGACGACGAAGAGGAAGAAGAGGTGGAAGATTATGACTTCGACAGTGAGGACGATAAAGACTACGACTTAGACGACATACAGGCTCTGAACAATGTTTATGGTGACCAAGCGGATGGGAGGTTCGACCCGTTTAATCGTGTCCAGTTCCGTGCACAAGGCAAAAAGAATGCAGAATCCATCTCAACCTTGCAGAAGTCTAAGTATGGGAACAGTGCGGCAGGGCTCTTGACCGAGCAGCGCGCAACGGAGTATGAGCGGGACACCCACGAGGAAGGATCAGCAGCCGGGGGGGCGCCAGGCGAGGGAACAACTAACAGTGAAGCCCCTATGGACAAAGCAGCGAACGACGGATCCATCAAAAGTGGAGCCCAAGAGAAGGAAACCACCAAAAGCGAAGGCAGCGAAAAAATCACGCAAAAGGACCCTAATGTAGATGGCTCTAAGGAAACCTCCCGCGAGTGAGGAGCGCAGAAGAAAGATCGATCAACTGTCAAACGACAAAAAGCACAAATGAGGGACAAATGTGGGACAAATGTGGGACAAATTCAGTGAGAGGTTCCGCCACCGAAATGGGAAGGCGCGGAGTGTCTGCCGCGTATGGTTGGAATGATTTTTTCCCGTTATGCTGTGTATATTGTGTGCAATATTGCGCATTCTTATTCCTTCGCTTCCTTTCCTTACTCTCCTTCTCTTCGTACTGTACCTTTTATTTTTATTTTCAATTTTTTTTTGTGGTCATCTAATAGTGGAAGGTAGAAATGGGAAGCCTGCTGAAGCACAACCAATCCAGTGCGGCAACCTGTGCACACTTGTGTATATATTATTTACGCATACACATAGAGGAAGCAGGGGGGGGAGTTCTCCCCAACATAGTCTCTCCCTACGAAGACGTGACAGTGGTCAGTACATGTCCTGCTGTTACTTATATTCGTGTGAGCTCTGCGCCACTCCCGATCCCCTGCGCACATGTACACACAAATACACAGACAGGAGATGGCACCCTCCTCCCCCCCCTGTAGTCATCTTAGGGGAAGCTGCTGTCTCCACTGCGTTCTTTGTTTCTATGCCTCCCGTTTGTGTTTCGAAAGGAGAAGTAGAAGGTGGAGCGGAAATCGAGACAGAAGAGGATAGGTGCGGCGATCTCGGAAAAGCCTCTAGTGGAAAGGGCTTTCCCATGTTGGTGGTAACTTTTGGAGGGAAACAGCGTAGCCTGTGTCTACTCCGCTGGTTCCTCTGCACCTTTGTCAATTTAAGTGGCACTGTGTTAGACACTCTCCTTCCTCGTGTTGTGCACTTTTTACTATCATTTTTTTTTCTTTTTTTTTTTTTTTTTTTACCTCCTTTTGCCTCTGCCCAATTTGTGCGAGCCCTTCTTGCTGCGTGGCTAGCATAGGCCCCCTATATTGGAATTGCC